GATACAAAAGTATAGACACTTTTAGAACATTTGTTTGCAATTCATTGCGATGCCCTGGTGATGGGTATGCAGAGATTCTGTTCTTAACCCTGGCCACCTAGGTTATGGATCAGACTATATTTATGGTTTCTCCACTGCTGCGTGAATAAGAGATTTTCTATTTATTATAAAATTGATATACACCCATCTCACTATCCAAAGCAATTCTGGATTACTTACAACACAATAAAAGCAGAAATATGAAACATTAAAAACATTGAAATTGAGCTTGGTACTTGATCGGGAAGCTGCTGAGAATATGCCCCCTTAAAACTGAAGTCTCATTCGAAATGTCTTAACAGAGCCTCCGTTGTTTTGTTTTCCTTGCTCAACTGCACAATAACGCAAAACTGTCAAGACAGTTTGTACAACTTTTCTTCTCTTTAATTTACTGACTGAGGGTTCAGGATCAGAAAACTTAGATCAGCAAGTAGTGAAGAACACCTCAGGAAAAAAGTGTGTACATAAAAAGTGTGTACCTCTGTGCGTGTGCACCAATGTGTGCATGCAAAAATATGAGTGTGTAGGAGAGGTTGATCTACTTCTCAAATCTAAACAGCTGCTTTCAATACAACTGTTTGTGAGATGGAAGGCAGCAAGAAAAGGGGACAGGGAATTTACTTATACAATTTTGCTCTGAACCTTCCTCCAAAATCAAGATTTAACTCCTAATAGGTAAGAGGCATTAATGAATGTTTAACAACGGTGCATTAGCGTACCAGGTTTGATATTCTGGGTTGAAGTTGGCTTTCCATAACACCTGTTATCAAGTTAGAAAAAGAATTCCTCAAATACATGCAGGAATACCTTCTCCACAGAGCTAAATCTAGAATTTCCAGACAGTCAAGTCCTGGCAGCCTTCATTTGGGGATATGAAGCAATATCTGTGTCAGGGTATTGGAAGAACTGTACAGAGATCCCTGTATAGGACAGACTGTATGAATTAGTCTGCTTCCTGTCGTGTATCTGATTGTCCTGACACTGATAGTTTACATTCTGTCTCTTTGCTAATTTTAAATAGCCATGTGGAGACTCAGATAGGCTGGGTGAGAGAGATGCCTATGAGATGAACAAGGTCTGATATTATGCAGATTCCTGCAGTTCTTGTGGTTTTTTGATGTTTCCCCCACTTTGGTTTGGAGCAGGGCCTGGTGCTACCATTCCCATTCCTTATACATATGACATTCATGTTCATTTTGAAATCCAGATATGCCAATCTCTCTCCAAACAATTGGTCAATAGCATCAAATGTGCTTTACACGGAAACAGCTCTTCAACTGTACACTTGCTCTCTATACTTCAAATCCATTCAAAGGGTTAATATATCTTCAGTTTGCCAAATTGATGATGGTCACCATCAAAGCTGACACCAGCCAGAACATAGAAAAACTCAAAGAAATAGTGCAAGGTCAAAAGATGTGGACAGACCTGATCCATAGAATCGCCAAGAGTCAGTGTCAGACCTCCTCAGCTTGAACCTCTAAGTAAGAAGCTGGCAGCTGACAGTCAGACAAGACTGAATGGATATCATCATCATCATCATCATCATCGTCATCCTAAACCAATGATGGAAACCTCCTTGCCCTGTCATCTCTAAGCAGCAAGATAAATTTTACTGCATAGAAAGGAGATGCTGATGTGGTATATACATGTTTGGAGCATGTATATGTGCTTTCTTGATGAGGATGTTCATATATATAAAGCTGAGTATTTGGCTAGATAGTTAGGCTTTTAGCTTAGGTATTTGCTTCTTAGATAATTTCATATTCCTGCCTATATCACAGAATTTGTTTCCTGTTAGGACACTGGATTTCTAACCATAGTATTTCTCTGTGGAGAAACTTCTTGGGTTTAGATGGAACTACAAGTTCTCTCTCTGGACAAAAGGGGCTCCTGCCTTTTCTTCCACATGCTATACAGGTCCCTGTAATTCAGAGAAGGCCACGTGACTCAACAGTTTGTGTTTGGCTACGTTATGGCGCTAACGCACAGGGTGGAAAACTACTTGCCAAAAACTGAAGACTTCAGCAATAAGAGGTGTCTTTTTGTCTGACTGGCCATAGCTGCATGCAAACTTGTATAATCTTACACATATGTGTGCACGCAGGTAAAGAGAAAGTATTGTTTATGAAAAATAATGCCCTTTCTTAGGACCTTTCACCTATATCCTCCATGAAACTTTCCCTGTAGTAGCTTCCACAGCATACAGTATGATCCACTCACTCTTTGTTCTGCTACTCCATTTCTATCAAGTTGGTCTAAAACTGTCTTAAAGCTTAGTTACCTCAGAGGCTAGCCATGCCGGCATGTTGTTGAGAAACATTGCCCCCTAATTTTGTCTATCCTACGAGAGATGGGGGGGTGAGGGACAAGAAAGCTGGTCCCAGGTTCCTTTCTGCAGCTGCCGGATGGGACTGTTAGAGCCGTAAATAAACGTTTTATCAGTTGGGCGTCTCTTCTTCTCTCCTTCTTTAATTTTGCTATCTATCTCAGCCAAGGATCAGAACCTTCTGGCTGAAGAGAGTCCCAAGAGGCAATGGGCAGCATCGCTTTCCACTATACCTAAGAGTTGGGTCTCTCACTCATTACATACTGGGTTTGCCTGACTGCTCCTGGAGGAATGAATCAAAGCTGGCCTCCCTGGCCTCACGTTTTCCGGCATTTTTCTTTTCAGTTTCTTTCCTCAGCCTTTTCCAACATCCAAAACGGAAAAATAATCCCAAATATTTTTGTTTTATGTCCTTTAAAAAAAACAAAAAACCAAAGCTTTGTTTGCTCTTTCTTTTCAAATAACTAATTATTGTAGGAGCAAAAGGGTCACCTATTGCTAAATGGCATGATTTGATTGTCAAAAAAGCCAACTGGGGAAACAAACCACTTTTGACCTTTTAAGGTTTCTTTTTTACATTTCTATTTTATTTAAACACAAGCCCTCTCCCAGAAAGCCCGGGGTGTTGTCTGCAAAACACAAAAAAACTATTGCTTATAAAAACTACACCCTGCCGGAAAAAGTACTCTCATTCTAAGTAATCTCCCCACCACCACTCCAGCTTTTCAACCTTCTCAAAGTAACAGTGAGAAAAGTTTTGCTAACCGGGCTAAAATGTTAAAACTTTACCAAGCAACAAAAACAACACTCCAAACCACTCACAGAAACCACTCAGAAAGATTCAGGCACTTCCTAAAGTTGCGATTTCTCCCCCCCTCCATTTCTATCCCCTCCCAGAAAAGGACATTTCCTCGTTTTTGGTGGGGTGAGGGGGAAAAGTGTTTTGGGGTGGGTTTTCTTCCCCTTGTCCCGTTCTTTGTTTAAAAATAAACGAATAAACTATCTTTTAATTTTAATAACCAAACATACTTTCTTTCTGTTTTGGGAAAGCAGTTAACTCAAGCCATGGGGTGGGGGGGGGTGGGAGAGAGGACGCTTTTTAGCTGTTTTCTAAAATGTTGGTGACTTTGATTTTCCTCTGTCAGTTTGGGATGATATTCCCTTGCTAAACTGCCTTCTCCTCTCTAAACGCGCCCCCCCCCTTCGGTAATCACAAACACACATGAAAAAGAAGGAAGGGGGGTAGAGGTCTTAAATCAGTCTCAAAGCCAGACAGACGTTTTAATCAAATCAAATTAGAATCAGCAGCGTTTGGAAAAAAAAAAAAGACAAGGCGCACAGCAAGACCCCCCCACCCCACCCCACCCTTCTCAAAACGGAGCGAGATGCGAGCCCTTACCTGAACCCTCCCCAGCAACACATAGCATAGTAGACTCAGAGTGTGGGCTGGGGGCGACACGGCGGGTTAGCAGACCAACGGTTGTGCTCCGAATGATCGCTGCAGATCCCAGCGCGGAGTGAAAATTTCCCTTTCTCTCTGGCTGGCTCTGCCCCGGGTTCCGTTCCTTCCTTCCTTCCTTCCTTTTTTCCCCCCCTTCCCTATTTGTTTTGGTTTTTGTTTGCTGGGTGTTAGGTGGGAATAGCTGTCTGTACTTTGTTTTGTATGTATGCAAAGTTTTCACCACGCAGTCTCTCTCTCTCTCTCTCTCACTCACTCACTCTCTCTCTCTCTCTTTCTCTCGCTCTCCTCTTCCACCTCCTGTGATTTCTTCTTTGATTGGTGTCCAGGAATGTAGGAGAAAGAAAGAGAAGGAAGGAAGGAAGGAAGGAAGGAAGGAAGGAAGGAAGGAAGGAAGGAAGGAAAGAAAGAAAAAGAGAAAGAAAGGAAGAAAGGAAGGAGGAGGGAGAGAAAGAAAGAAAGAAAGAAAGAAAGAAAGAAAGAAAGAAAGAAAAAGAAAGAAAGAAAGAAAGAAAGAAAGAAAGAAAGAAAGAAAGAAGAAAGGAAGGAGGAGGGAAAGAAAGAAAGAAGAAAGGAAGGAGGAGGGAAAGAAAGAAAGAAAGAAAGAAAGAAAGAAAGAAAGAAAGAAAGAAAGAAAGAAAGAAAGAAAGAAAGGCATAATATTCTTAAAGTAGCTGCCTTTTTAAAAACTTAAAAGTGTTAAACAGAACCAGGTTGCTTTCAAGAATGTATTTGGTACCATTGTTGACAAACACCCATTCATTTTCTTCCCACCTCCTGCTTGCTGTTCAGCCTGAGGTGCCCCACTTCAAACTTTGGAGTGGGGAGGGGTGCAGGAGGAAGGTAAAAGTCCTACTTAGCAATAGGGCTCTTCTGAAAGGAAAGAAGGAAGGGACTTTTCTTGGGTTATTTGTCTAAAAACTATCCAGAGGAAATGCCAGCCCACCATACTCCTCCCCACCCTATTCTCTAGATCTCTGGATGCTGCCAAGTTTTCCTAGTGGCATTTTAAAAAATCAATTAAAATAAAAAAGAAAGGTGTGGGGATTTCCAGCAAATATTGGAAAACCCAACCTATTGCAAGGTCTTCCTTGAGCTTCTGAGTGAGGAGAGAGGGGGTTGCCAGTTGCCCTCTGGATGGGGGTTGAAGAAAGGGACCCCAGGCTCTCCTACCTGCTCTCCACGCCATCTGGTTAAAGCCCCAGTCCGGTGCAGCCCTTGAAGGTAGGTGTGTGACTGGATGCTTCCTTTCGCCGAAGGGTCTGCATGGAATCTGCTGCCTCCTTTATTCTGGGCCAGGATTAATAATCCCATTTGCCAATCCCACTCACTGGGATTTTGGTTGTGGGGTGGGTTGTGTGTTTTTTTGTTTTTTGAAATGTGGATGTGTGCGTGTGTGTAAGCATGTGTACGTTTTAATTTGGGGAAGATAACTTGTGCAACCTTTCTTCTAACCCCCCCCCCTCCTTTCTGACGTGTAAAGCTTTAACCACAAAGCTAAGCCCAGTCCCTGAGGGGGGGATGTATGTGGGGGGCATAGGGGGAGGAGAGGTCCTGCAGATTGCCTCCCCTCCCCTACAAAGAGACAAGGCGAAGTGAGTGTGTGAACCCACCCTGTCTCAGGCTGAAATGCCAGATTTGGGAAGGGGGGGGTGGAAGGAGGAAAGGGGTGGGGATAGAGCAAAGAAACTGACCCATTCTTGTTCTCCATTTCTTTTGCCTCCCTACCGTGCACTTCCCAGTCTCTGCCCTAGAGTTGCCTGTCCACAACTCCCTTGGACCAGACCTTTGGCCTCGACTATGAAAGGCTCTTCCCTCACATGCCAGTCTGAGTGCCAAGCACTGGGCTTCCTCCTGATGCCCCACTGCCCTTGTGTAGGAAACAAAGCACAATCGCTTGTTGGTGGGTTGCCTTCAAGGGCTTACCCCATTCCCGTAAACTGAGTGGCCTTTAGTCATTGGCAGGTGACTAAACTCACTCCCCCATCCTGTGGAAAGGAGGGTGTGCCTCTACTTTCTGACTGCGGGGAATATTGGGAGCAAAAGGTGACCTCCCCTCCCTCCAGGCAGAACAAAACAAAATAACAACACACACACACACAGTATTTTGTACCCACTTCTCTCTTTGTTCAAACCCATGGTTGTTCTTCCCATCCACTCATTCTGTGTCTCATATCTGTGGGATCCAACACTAATTCATTACTCAGCAAAAGTTTTTCCAGTCCTCTTTCACCATGGGTGACTCAGCTCTTTGACAATGGGGGGGGGGTGACCTCCCTGACTGGATGGGTTTCTTGGAAAGGGGTGTAAGGTGGAAACTGGGGAGGTTGCCTAAAAGTTTGGGTGACTATAGGAAGGGGAAAAGACGGAGGGGAGGGAACCCCAGATGGATGGATGGATGGATGCTAAAGAAGGACTTCTTTAAAAACCCTACCTTGCAAGTATAACCTGGACAAAAGAGAAAGCACTCTCTGCTGAGGTGATAAACAGCACTTCCCTATATTCTCAGAAATGTGCACTATATGGGCATGATCCTTTTAGCAAAAGGTAGCCCTGCTGATTTCAACAGGGTTTGTATACTGTCAACTGAGTGGAAACTATCAAATTTTGGAGAGTCCCCAGTTCTGCGGTTCTTGCACACACAGCATCTCCATTAGCAAATTAGCAGCATAGGTGGTTGGGATCCATCTAGCTTTTGCTGCATTGTTTTTTTCCCTTCCCTACTGCTGCTCTCCAAGTAAAATATCTTGAAGTGTTGACCTTTGAGATTTTAGGAGAATTCCCTTTTTGCAAAGATTTTGAGCAGCGTTGAAATGGTTTGTTTGTTTTCTTTAATTATGTCTAAAAAGTTATTTGACCCAAGGAAAAAAAGCCCACTCTAACCCTTTCTCTGAATTTCAATAGTCAAGCAATTGTTTGTTTTCAATTACCCTCCTTTGATTAGAACCGACTTTGCTGATGGGAAGCTTTCTAACTAGATGAGGACTTTAGAAGTAAACTTTATATTTAAAATAAACTGTCACATGTTATTAAAGCTGGCATGCCAGGTATAGGGCGAAAGTGGAAAAATACCAAAACTCTGTTTATTCTCCTTACTAAATATTTACATATTTACCAAGCCCAAAAAAAAGTTTAAAAGTTTTGTGTTGTTTGAGGAAATCCAATCACTTCAACCCGAATTAATTGCATTTGTGAATATATACGTTTTTTCATTGTTAAAACCTGTCTCGCTATTTACATGGAAAAACTATTATGAGGCTTTGAACTTTAAGGAGGAGGGGGGTGGAAACCTATTCTTTTTTTCTCCTTGCAGGCTTTTGCGTAATGCTTTGTGTAAAAACAAAGGAACTCACAGACACAACTAATTGTAATGCTTTTTTTTCTTTTTTCTTTTTCTTTCCCAAAAAGTGTTTTGTGCCTCCAAAAGGTAAAATTCAGAATGAATCTCAAATACAGTCTGTGCTTCAAGTCCTCAGGTTTTTAAAAGTTTTGTGCCCCAACTTCACCGTAGTCTGGTTTTTATTTAAAATAACAGTTCCATCATCACATGAAGATTTATGTATCTCTGATTTGGCTGATGTAAGCAGCCATAAAAATATATTTATGGTAAGCAGTGGTTGCTCAATGTATATACTTAAGGGAGTATCACACAAAGCTTGTTGCTTAATTATTTGTTTGTTCATGAAACAATTCTACGTGTTTATAAATATATAGAGATTTTAGAACAACACACTTGCTACTCCTTTGTTTTTCAGCCCATTAAACCAAAAATATAAAATAAACTAAAACTGATTATTATGGGGCAATAGGGATCAATCTAAAACCTAAATTGTGAACTTTTAGTCTTTACCTAAAGAAAGGATACTTTTATTTGTAAATGTCCCAAGTTTGCTTTCCTAGGAGGAAAACACCAAAGACAGAGCTGGAGTTTTTAAAATATATCATTTACATGAAAAATGTGTAATGTATATTTTGTCCTGGAGGACTGTGAAATTGTAGAGCAAGAAACTCTCTTTGAAATAAAGAATATCTGCAAAAATACATATGGGTGACAAACAGCAAGAACTGATTTTGTGTGGTGTGTATATATCAGCTGTCAGGATAATTAATAGTTTTAACAAAAGTAACAATACTATTCACGATAGTATGCTTATTTTGTAGTACATACAGAAATTATATATTCCTTTAGAGCACAAATTTTTGGCAATCCTTGATAAACTAGAGGCTTGGATCTAGATCCCAATTCATAGTTTCTTACTCTTGGAAAGATATGATATGATATGAGGGCATTTCTAGGCTTTAGGAACTACAGTTTGAACTGAAAGAACATAATTATTTCAAGCAAACTACTTGTCATGTGCATCCTGATCCAATACGTATCAAGATATCTAGGACAGAGAAAATGCTGAAGGAGTTTAAATTCTATTGGATAACTTGGCCTCTTTGGTAACTGCAACAAATGTGTTCTCCCCCTCCTCCCCAAAGGCCCTGTTATCTTGCCCTAAAACAGGGGTTTCCAAACTTGGCAAAGTTAAGACTTCCCTATGCTGGCTGGGGAATTCTGGGAGCTGAAGTCCACAAGTCTTAAAGTTGTAAAGTCTGGAGACCCCTGCCATAAAATGACTTGACTCATTTCCTTTAGGTCATGAGTGAGGAACTTCTAGAAGTTGCTGAACTATAATTCCCCACAATCCCAGTCAGTATAGCCAGTGATGACAGATTTTTGGAACTGTAGTTCAGTAACTTATTGACGTGGGTTTTTTTTTTTTTAGGTTTCTAGCTTTAGTTTTAAGTCAACTTCTTGCAGAGATGGGCTCTACAACTAACAGGCAGCCAAGATTATATTTGTGACACAAACAGCAATCTTTTGCCATCTAAGATGATAATCTTCCATCATTTGAAATTGGACATATTTTGTACACTACTATGTACCTGAACAGTCTTTTTCCTGTTGTGTAAGTTGTGGGACCATCAAATTTTTGTAATTATAATGCATAAAAAATTACTGCTAGGATATTTCATATCTTCTTCTGTTCTTCTTCTTCAGTGTAAAGCAGTAATTTTTAATGTGTTTTTTGCTGAAGGAAAATATGCTACCAAGTGTGAGTTGCTACTGGAACTTGCAGGTCTTGAGATGGCCTGCAAACTATAAAATAGTTAGAAAACTCATCTTCCAAAAAGTAGACACCAAATATACTTCTAACCATGATCACTCTTACTACATAAAAGGTGGTGATGTACCTCCCTCAAGCCCTATAAAATGGCTTCTGTTCTCTCTACTTCATTTGAAAGAAGCAGAGCAGCAAGAGGAAAATTCATTCCTATTTAACATCAGCAATAAGACTATAATAATACAATCTTCTCCCTAAATCTGTGAGTAAAACCCATCATATGCTAATGTATAAAGCAGCAGAGTTTCACGCATCTTTAATAATATTCAAGAGTTTACCCGTTTGTGGGAGAAGAAGGAAACAATGTACATCCTTTTCTGCTCTGTCACAGGACGGTAATAATCATGCTTAAGAGCAAGTAGAATTTTCTATGAGTTCACAGACTGATTCATGATTCTATGGCAGGCTTGTGCCTCAAATGATAGAAGCAAGCATTCAAGGAACTGTACATTTTAGAAACACTTCAGCTGAAATTATCATGCAAATTGTGTCCTCATAGTACACTTTTTATATATTTTATTCTGATATTTGAAATATAGGATATCTGGGATAATAATAGTCAACAGCACTGTGAGATTGGATAAGATACACAGAATGAATTTGTAGTCTCTCTCCCTCTCTCTCTCTCTCCCCCCCGCCCCAAAGGCTTTAGAATTTTGAGGGACCTAGGCTGCTAGGTTTTAGATGTTTTTAAATGGGGGAAAGAGAGAGAAAGAAAAACACAAGCTATGCATCTGAAATTCAGCTTTTATATCTCACTTCATAATTAGATGTAAACATGAGTAGGTATTTTTGTGTTTAAAATTTCTGGTCAATATAAAGAAGCACAACGAAGATGTATATGTTGTGGATATCAACAATGGAAATTGTTTGTGTTGAGTAAATTATTCTATGTCTTAACGAAAAGCACCACTTGGACAACGCTGTTCAGTTCATTAATTTGGAGTAAATTTTCCATCAGTTTTCTGTTATTCTCTGTGATTTTCTGTTTCAGAAAATGGATTGAGCATATTTACTGGATCATATAAGATAAAAACCCACAACCAATTGGAAGCCATGATTCAGTAAAGTCATGTTTTAAAATATAATATATCTTAATCAAACAGTTTTATGAAGGTCTATAAGTCTCCTATAACTTTTGAA